GACACTCTGACTCCCATGAGCTCCAAGGGCTTGGAGTTGTTGGTCTGCAGCCCCCACTTGAGGAACATGAGCAAGGGTTTTGCGTTTTTTCCAGATCACCTTACTTCCCTACGTCTCTCTGATTGACTGAAGGGCTGAGAATGTACAAACGACTGAGCGTCTGTGTTAAGGAGACCATTTCTTTGTATTGGAGCTTAGTATTTTCCTTCTGATTGCAGGGAATTCTCAATGTCTACAATTGTTCAGAATTAATACTCTCCCCCCCTCCCCACCCCCAATCTCTAGTCCAGGTTGACAGGGAACTTGCTGTGTCACCGAGACTGACTTCTAACTCCGACCTCAACCTCCTTAGTGCTGGGATTCCAAGTGTGTGCTGCCAGCCCGGCCTTCAGAACTTGTTCTTGAAGTTCAGAAGTTTTACACATCCACTCTACCTTTACGCCAGTTCCTACATGCTCACACACCATGAGCCTTGCTCTCCTTCGGCGTACATGCTTTAGGATGCCACTGCGGAGGAGGGCTTTCACAGTCTTCCCTGGCTTTGAGCAGGCACTTACCTTCAAAGTTTAGCACCACCGGCTCAGGCCACCTCTCAGTGTCAAAGTTCACAATGGACAGCAACACCTAGGGATTAACCGCTAGAATTTTCCAAGCCAATACTATATGGGCTACACTGTCCGATCCACCATGTTACATGACACTTTGAGCTACCTAGAGGCACAAAGCCATGAATCCCATTTCTGTTTAATAAAATGTGCCTTCGAGTCAGAAAGAGACTTAGCACATCATTAATTAGTAAGTGGAAAATTGGAGGCATGCCCTGAGGCCTTTCCCTCATGAGGCCCTGATCACTCCATGTTTCTACAGCATCCTCTCCTGACATCCCTTTTAAAGTTCTAACGTAAAGGAGATCAACTGTGGCAGCATTTGTTTTCAGTGGAACAGTACTGTGGACCTGACCACATTCTAATCCCCACATAACTGGGCCTTTGCATGGCTCCACTTCTGCCCACAGAATAACTCCAGAACAGATGTTCGCAGGACCCAGCGGCATGTCTGCTCTTTCAGACTCTAGCGGCATTAAGCACTGAAGCCCCTAAACAGGCAATGGGACTATCAGCCAGGGGATCCTCTCTGTCATCCTTTTGATGACTGATGATGACCCAAGAAATTGCTGAGGAGTAAAAAAAAAAAATATAACATCCCCAGAATTTAGGACTCTGGTATGGATTTAGCCCATTGAGGTCTCCTTCCCCCATCACCAGCTTAACTCGGCAGGAGAGTATATCCTGGACACAGGATCGAAAGCCAAGATCATCAAACATGAACTAATATTATTTTCCTTTGATTTAAGGGGTCAGGAACAGAGCTCACCAATCTCTCCACCCCTATCAGCGTCTAGTCTCATCACCCAGCGTAGAGGGAACACAGCAGACTGCCCAAGGGCCAATTTGTTTCTTAGGAGAGTCCCAGTGCACACAAGAGGGAGGCAATCAGGCCTCCCCTGGGCATCCCTAGACGCACTTCTGAAGACTTTACTTTGGCAGCAGAGACCAGAAACTGCTCAGACCGAATCAGCTGAGCCTCTTGTAATGTGGCTTGTTGAGTTAAGGCCAAGTTAATATTTAAGGGACTACAGAATGTTGGCAGAGTGTTCTGTAAATTACCTCTGGAGTTAAGAGTGACAAGTGGTAAAGGAATAGGGGCCTCCTGCAAGAGACCAGCCCGTTTGCCCCCATCCCAGAAAACCCCCCACAGGAGGAGTGGCCTGCCACCCCACTCATGGTCACGTTTGTGTGGTTCCTGCTTTTGAAGGAAGGCGGGGGGGGGGGGGGGGCATGACAGTGGAGGCGGGGTCTGCTTATCTGGAAATGGGATTTGTTTTTTTATATTATATTTTATATGAAAGAGAAAGTTAAGGAGTAAGGAATGATTTTTGTTGTTGTTTTGCTTTTCGAGACAGGGTTTCTCTGTGTAGCCCTGGCTGTCCTGGAACTCATCTGTAGACCAGGCTGGCCTCAAACTCTCAGAGATCCTCCTGCTTCTGCCTCCCAAGTGCTGGGATTAAAGGCGTGAGGCACCACCGCCCAGCTAAGGAATGATATTTTAAGCTCCATCCTTCTAGCTACTCTTTCCTGGCCTTCTAACCTACTAGAATCAAAACCCACTTAGCTCCCTGGTGAAAATGGGCATGTCCAGGTGGAGTGGTGACCAGTGACAAAAAGTTCCCTGTAACCCATCTTAAGGCTTTGGTAGAGTCATGGCCATCCATTCCTCCCTACCCTCCACCCCCATTCCTTAACTCCTGTGCACTCCAAGTCTGAAAATCCCAAAACAAGGGAAACTGTGCGCAGTGAAAAGCCTGGGTGGCCACAGCTCAGCCCATGGGCCACAGTCGTCAGCCTCATGTCTGGAGTCAGAGATTTGTATTACTGATTCCTGACTCTCACTTGGTCCCTTCCAAAGTCCCCGCTGTGCTCCCTCTGGGTTGAGTGACAAGATATAAAATGGCAGAAGTGGGGGGCTTTTGCTCCCCCTGTTACATTCTGCCTCTCTTTGCCCTTCCCATTTGACAGATAGATAATGCAATGCTTCTCCCCGCTGGCATAAGTCAGTAGAAGCTGCCCGTGTCTCCTGGGCATCTGGTAGACCTGAGGTGATGTGGCCAGCCTGACTTCAGACCCCAGGCATTCCTGGTTCTCTGACTCCTCAAACCTTGCAGGCTGCTATGAATGCCCTGCATATGAAATCATGAGGGAGCAAAGCAATGTTGCCAGATGGCCTGGATATCTAAATGTATTAAATGTACAGGATGTCTAGTTGAATTTCAGATAAAAAAAATTTAGGGTTTTTAATATAATAATCTTGATATAATGAAATACATTTTAGTAATAATATACTAAAATATAGATGAGTACTACTAATAATAAAATGCATGCATACATAAATAAATGTCATAAAACATTAAAAATACATAATAATTTCATTTTATAAGATATATGAATATTTAATGTAATCAATATTTTAATAATAAATTCATCTTTAAAATATTTGGTGTTTATCTGGAATTCTTATTTGGCCTAATGTTTGTATTTTATTGGCAACCCTGCCCAGAGGTATATGATGTGTGTGTGCCTCTTGGGGTTAGTGGGCATCTGAGGATAACTTGTAGCCAAGAGTCTGAGCTTTTTAGACTCTCTTGAGCCTAAAGTCTCCTTTGGTGAGAAACTTTCTGACTTTGTTCTCAAGTTATTTAGTGTTATTGGCTTGGGAGCGAATGCTTGAAACTGGTAACAAAACGCGGAGATCTGTGCAGACTGATGCTAACTAACTCCAGGCAGTTAGTACTGGAAGTGCAAAGAACTGTAGGAACCCAGTTGGGGATGGAGAATTAGTTTGTATGAGTGAAAGATACATATTTTATGTCAGAAGTGTGGAAACTAAAAACAGCTTGTTTTACCATGATTAGTATAAAAAGTAATAGAAATGGGTTTTAATCAGGGATGACTGTAAAGTAACTCATGCTGGATAGAAGGCTCAGTGGGTAACAGAACTTACTGTTCTTGCGGAGGGCCGAGATTCAGTCCCCAGCACCTACAGAGTGGCTCACAATTGCCTACAACTCCAGTCCCAGAGGCTCCAGCGCCCTCTTCCGACTGCTCTAGGTCCTGCACATATGTGGTGCAAATACCTACGCTGGGGAACAAACACATAAAATAAGTAAACTGTTTTAAAAGATTACAGTCACCCTAGGTCATCTGAGTGCAGATAAGAGACAGAAATACATTCTACCTTGTGGCTGTCATCATCATCCAGCTCAGTGAGTGTCACAGAGCAGGTTTTTTCTATGGCTTGTCTGCAGTTCTTAATCCTGTCTAAGGAACTCTTGGCTCTCAGAGGGCCTCAAATCATACCACATTTTGACTTAAGCCTTAAAAGATGAAGTTTAATGTGTACAAAGTGCTTCATAAACTCTCATAAACTATGTCTAGAGGGATGGCTCAGCAATGACCAGCCCTTGCTGCTTTCAGAGGAGCTGGGTTTGGTTCCCAGCACTCATGTCGGGCAGCCCACAACCACCCGTACTTCCAATTCTGAGGAGTCTCACTCCCTCTTCTGGCCTCCACAGGCACCCATACACATAGCATACACACACATACATGCACACATCCACATAGATAAAAAGTACAAATACATCTTGTATCTTTGTAAATATATAGCTTATATATGTGTATATATACATATATCTTATATGTGTATATATGCATGTATATGTGTATATACTAATATTTATTTTTAGAAAAAGAAAGAAAAAACAATATAACCTTATTTTTCCCATATCTTAAAATTGAGAAGATAGGGCTGCAGAGATGGCTCAGTGGTTAAGAGCACTGGTTGCTCTTCCAGAGGTCCTGAGTTTGATTCCCAGAAACCACACAGTGGCTCACAGCCATCTATAATGGGATCCAATGCCCTCTTCTGGTGTGCAGATGTACATGAAGACAGAGCACTCATATACATAAAACACATAAATAAAATTGAGAAGACATACTTTACTCTGAACAGGAGAGACTTACAATGACTCCTCTAAAATTAGCAAAGCCCTGAGTTTGCAGAAACCGTCCACAACTTCATCAGCGAATACATCAGCACATGGAAATGCTCTGCCAAATGTATGGTGCGAGTCTTTGCCACACCTTTAAAGAGTTTCTAAGAAGGAGTGTGATAAATGTGAGTACAAACTGCTTTCATTCTCCAAGCTCCCAGAAAGCATTTCTAATACAGAGTTGGCATGATCTCCAGTGTTTCTAACCTTCTGGCAAAATGAGCTGTATAGAAGGAATATCAAAAGCCTGTGTCTAAATAGTCAACAAAAGTTTGCTACACAACTAGCCAGAAAGTTATCCAGCAGAGTTTTCATTTCCAGATAAAGGTTAGTGGAATGAAGTCTGCTCCAAAGGGTATGGATGACAAGCAGCTCATGATCTCTGTTCTTTTAGGAGAAAAAACAGCGCTGAAGTTGGCTTTCCTGAGAAACTGGGAGAAGCCAAGACCATGACAGAGGAGCCTGAAAGTGAAGACCATGAAAAACTCCAAGTTAAAATCCAAGCCTTTGAAGACAAAATAAACGCTGAGAGCAACACCCCTGCTTCTGTCCGCAGATACAGCTTAGACCACATCTCTAAGGAAGAACAAAGAAACATTCGATTTAGCAGGTATAACTTTTATTCGGTCATCATTTTGAAGTATGAACTTGTATTTGCTATTACTTTTATTGTCGTGATGCTTTGGGGTGTTTCAACTTTTTTTTCTTAACCTATGGCTTCCCAAGGTTCTATCCTTTAATGAATTAAAACAATATTACCCATAGTGTGTAGCAGGAATCTTAAAAGTTCTTATTAATAAAATCAAACCTGAGGCCAGTTATTGGGGTGAATACTGGAAGGTCAGAGAGACAGAACAAGCCACAGCTATCTCACCTTGCCAGTTCCTCAGCTGGTCCTGTTTCCTTAGACTGGAGGCCTCTGAGTCCTCATCCGGAATGGGTCTCAGCTGAATTACTGCTCAAAAGCCTGAATGCTTAACCAGCCAAAATCTTAACCAGCCAAATTCTTCTAGTTTCTGGTCCTCACGCCTTATATATCTTTCTGCTTTCTACCACCACTCCCTGGGATTAAAGGCTGGCTTTCTGGGATTAAAGGCGTGTGTCACCATGCTTGGCTATTTCCAATGTGGCCTTGAACTCACAGAGATCCAGAGGGATTTCTATCTCTGGAATGTTAGGATTAAAGGTGTGAGTGCCACCATTTTCTAGCTTTTGTATCTAGTGGCTGTCTGTTCTCTGACCTCAGATAAATTTATTAGAGTACACAATATTTTGGGGAACACAATACCACCACAATAGTGCTCTCATTAGTCAAGTACCCTTACTATGTACTTAGGGCAGCGATTCTCAACCTTCGTAATGCTGCAACCCTTTATACAGTTCCTCATGTTGTGGTGACCCCCCCAACCATAAGATTATTTTCATTGCTACTTTAGAAGTGTGATTTTGCTGCTGTTGTGAATTGTAATATCAATATCTGATATGTGACCCAAGGGGGCTGAGAACCACTGACTTAGGGACTATAAATAGAAGGCAAACATCTGATTTTATCTCTTAAACACTTTTTTAAATTAAGCATGCTAATTTTGAAAATGGCTGACAGTTGCATCTCTTATTCTAGTGAATAATCAGAGGCAAAAGCAAGAAAGAATAAAAACTCTCTGTCTACCACTTTATAGCCAACTTTGCTAGGAAGTTGATTTAAATCTTCTTTTGGAGGTACCTAAACATTCTCTTCTTTCCTATTGGTGGGGTTGAGGATAAAACCCAGGGCCTTATGCATATCAAGCATGTAGTAGGCTGCTGAACTACAACCCTAGCCCTGTGTTTTCAGAGTGTTATTCGTCACACAGCTTGGTGGTCTGTAGATGTGACCAATCGTCTTATTAAAATAAGAAACACAGAGCCAATGTAAAAGAGAAAGCCGAGAGGTCAGAGCTCAGAGATAAAATCTTATCTCCTGCAGTGCTCCTAACTTCCCCGAGAGAGCTTCTTCCTGTTTGTCTGTCTTTAAATAGTCTTTCTGTTCTGCCTTCTCATTGGTTGTAAACC